GAGCGGTGTCACCCCACAGATGACACCCCTACCTTGTTGGTCTATCAGAGAGCGGTGACACCCCACAGATGACACCCCTACCTTGTTGGTCTATCAGGGGGCGGTGACACCCCACAGATGACATCCTTACCGTGTTGGTCTATCAGGGAGCGGTGACACCCCACAGATGACATCCTTACCTTGTTGGTCTATCAGGGAGCGGTGTCACCCCACAGATGACATCCTTACCTTGTTGGTCTATCAGGGAGCGGTGTCACCCCACAGATGACACCTTACCTTGTTTGTCTATCAGGGAGCGGTGTCACCCCACAGATGACTCCCTTACCTTGTTGGTCTATCAAGGAACGGTGTCACCCCACAGATGACACCCCTACCTTGTTGGTCTATCAGGGAGCGGTGTCACCCCACAGATGACATCCTTACCTTGTTGGTCTATCAGGGAGCGGTGTCACCCCACAGATGACACCTTACCTTGTTGGTCTATCAGGGAGCGGTGTCACCCCACAGATGACATCCTTACCTTGTTGGTCTATCAGGGAGCGGTGTCACCCCCACAGATGACATCCTTACCTTGTTGGTGGTCAGGGAGCGGTGTCACCCCACAGATGACATCCTTACCTTGTTGGTGGTCAGGGAGTGGTGTCACCCCACAGATGACATCCCTACCTTGTTGGTCTATCAGGGAGCGGTGTCACACCACAGATGACATCCTTACCTTGTTGGTCTATCAGGGAGCGGTGTCACCCCACAGATGACATCCTTACCTTGTTGGTCTATCAGGGGGCGGTGACACCCCACAGATGACATCCCTACCTTGTTGGTCTATCAGGGGGCGGTGACACCCCACAGATGACACCCTTACCTTGTTGTTCTATCAGGGGGCGGTGTCACCCCACAGATGACATCCTTACCTTGTTGGTCTATCAGGGAGCGGTGTCACCCCACAGATGACACCCCTACCTTGTTGGTCTATCAGGGAGCGGTGTCACCCCACAGATGACATCCCTACCTCGTTGGTGGTGGTCAGGGAGCGGTGTCACCCCTTACCTTATCAGCCTACTCACGGGGCTAGCTTCCTTGGGCATGTGTTCGACCTCGGATCAGAAGTCCGTGATTCGAATCCCAGCACGGGACTCGGAAAATTTAGGCCCGACCAATGCGAGGCTGATCCCTTTCAAGGACAATGTATGATAAAGGAACGCTTTGACCCAAGGGGTATATGCACGATGAAGACTTGAACCAATCGTTTTGAAAGTTATCCGCTGTGTTTTCATATGCATGAGAGTTGGACATGGATCGTTTCATCAACTGAACGTGGGGACGTGTAACAACTATAAATGAACATGACAGCCTAGAACGTCTCTAAAAGAGGTTTTTAGGAAGCGTTTTTTCTGATATTTGAACATGAGCATGTCTTTGCCTCACGCTGATTTATATAGGAGATGTAGATAAAAACAGTACAAACACTGGGGGGAAAGTTCATCTCGGGTCACTGACGTGCTCCTGCTTACGTTTTCTCTTTCCACGGAATATCGTCCTATTTCATTCACTTTGGCCTTACGTAGCTAATCATGTCAAAACCAAGCCATGCATGTATAAGAAAGGACGAAAGATTGTAAGCCATCTGAACATGTTTGAGAATGTTCATACCGATTTCAAATGTGACATATCCGGTATCACAAAACAGCCCTTACCTCGCCCTGTGAGGTATATAAAACCCTGTCCCAACTATGCTGCAAAGACGATACTCTGAAAGGGGTGTCTGTCATTTGCATTCATCTAAAATAAACCAAGTTTACAAAAGTCACTTAAATTTGAACTCACGAGAAGAATACACCACATGTGAATTTTGTGTGTAAACTTTTATTCATACCTCAGTCCTTTTGAGGCTGTATTCTTTTCACGTTTGCCTTTTCTACGTGCTATGGGTATGCTACGCTATTTTTGTCATATGAAACATATATATTATTGAATTGTTTCTCTCGCATCACCAAGCCAAGCCTTTAACCGTAACAATCGTTCATAGCGTTTTCTCCCCGCGATCGAACCTGCATATATTGAATGTAATCCACTGCTGCATTGAAATGAATGTTAATGTAACAAAGGAATATTTAGAATATACCAGTCTGCAACGCAGGGCACACTAAGGATGCTCACCGAAAACAAAGACCATCACAACTGCGGTAATAAAGCTCTTCTGATATTTCGTCCACGCGCACGATGCGAGTGCACCAAATCAGTAAACGTACCTGTAGATGACTTGTCCGAGTGTTCACCAACGCGCCGAACCACCACTGGTTGTGCCGATTGCCCAGCTGCTGAATGAATATACAGGTATATACGGTCGAGAGACACATGCATATACAGCGCTCTGTTCCGCATGCGCGAGTCGTCCCCAGCTGGTTGTGGATGACGTTCTGTCGACCTCTCTCTCTCTGACCTGGCGATGAAGGTTCGGTCACGCTTCAGCGCTTGTCGATAATCAATTAGACAAGAGACAATTGGATAAAGGATGTCCCATTTCCGAGAGAATAGATGAGTGAGTGAGTGAGTTGGGTTTAACGCCGCTTTTAACAGTATTCCAGTTATATCACGGCGTGTCAGCTTAATGTGGGAGGAAAGCCCGAAGTGATGCAGGTCTCAGACGTTTACCACATCGGAGAAACCCACGAGCACTGGTATGGTGCTGTCAAACCTAGAAACAAAATGGGGGGGGAACCGGGATTCGAACCAACATTCATACGTTTCTGCATACTCTGAACAGCAAATCGCGGCGCCTTAGACGACCCGTGCCTCCTGGTACAAGTACGAAGTGGGATGTAAGTTACATTTGGTTTCCCACGTTTCCTTCAGTTAGCAACGAAATGTGTGTTGTGTAGCAAAGTAAATCTCTGACCAGGAACATTCAAAACGTCAGAGACACTTTACAGACACTGCCCTCCGGAAGGGGGCACGGGTGGCCCAGTCGTCTAAGGCGCCGCAATTCGCTGTGCAGAGTTGCGTACCTTTGGCACGCCAGAAACCTATGATTGTGGGTTCGAATCCCGGTTCGCCCCAATTATGTTTCTAGGTTTGTCAGCACCATACCCGTGCTCGTGGGTTTCACCGAAGTGGTAAACGTCTAAGACCTGCATCACTTCGGACTTTCCTTCCAAAATTAAGCTGACACTCTGCGATATAACTGGAATAATGTTAAAAGCGGCGTTTAACCCAACTCACTCACTACCCTCTGGAAGACCAAGACCTTCTATACACTACCCCTGGCATAGATGATCATGAATACTCTGTAGAAAATCCTGCTAAGAGAATATTCTACGAAAAAATAGGATGGCGTCACTGGAGGATATAAAACCTGTATTTGCACCTATTTCCGCGGGAGTACATTGAGGGAATGCATACAGACGATGACCATGACAACAAGTAAAAACAACAATCTTACAATCAAAACAACCTCCGTACTACGACTGTCGTAGGTCTATGTTACAATATGGGAGTGACCTTCACCCTAGCAGTGAGATCGCTTTGTACAACGTCACCCGGGGGTACATACAGGGGTCGACGAGGGGGGGGGGGGGGGGGGGGTACATGCAGGGGGTGGGGAGGGCACGTACTCCTTTGTCGGACATTTCATTTCCGCATGTCAAATGTGAACACATGAACGAAGACGGTAACAGTCCATTACGACCCCCGATGATCACACCATATATAGCTGTTGTACATCACATCTGTGAGACGCCACTTCTTTAAGAACACGTGACCTGCAGGCCCAGTATGGAGCATCTTCCAACTGTACAAACACATCTCCCCGTGTCGTCATGGCGTCGATCAACATTCATAGTCAGGAAACAATACATAAACATCTACAATTATCTGCCATGGTGCTTTGCGTGATATAAATCGGAAATCGGTTTGCAACAATGGGTTTCAACAGCTGGTGTCATGACAATACGATAATAACGGTACAAAACGGGTCATGAACCGTTTGATATAAAACAAGTCATTGAAATAGATGTCGTTTCTAATTGGCAGGGCATCTGTGCGATCATGGGTACTGTGCACGACCTTTCTTGTACCACATAAATTAAACGCCCAGCACTTACTGGTAAACGTTTGTCAAAATACAGTAAATATAAATTCTCTGTTTAATTTATATCATTGTGATAAGGGTCCAACTATTGCATATTCTTGCCCGAAGAAATGCTCCACTGAACATGGTGGATGTTTTGAGAAAACAGTCTGGCTCATCTTTTCAGAGAAAAAATTGTATGTACGACCACGACATCCAAGAATTAATATCAGTAATTATTTGATGATATCCTGAAATACATAAATAAAAAAAGGTGACTATGCTTGTTGTGGCGACTAACGGGATCGGGTGCTCAGGCTTGCTGACTTGGTTGATGCATGTCATCGTATCCCAATTGCGTGGATCGATGCTCATGATATCAATCACTGGACTGTCTGGTCCAGACTCGATTATTTACAGACCGCCGTCATATAGTTTGAATATTGCTGAGTGCGGCGTTAAACAACAAACAAATGAACAACAAAACAAGCTATAATTGGCAATGGCAGTGGATCCAATTACTTTTTGTCTGAAGTTAGTTGATTTTTCAGAAAAGGAACTGAGGTACTGGTGTAAATAAAACAATAATTGATATAACAACAAAAGAATCATGACTGAATTACAGATATGAATTGAATTATTGATATCTTGAAAAGAATGATTGATATAAATAAATAAATTGAGATACAATTAATCCAGTTCACGACATCATTAATAAAGTTATACTATGAAGTCTTAAACATACATCATTATTATATTTCAAGACATGAAAAAGCAATTCCTGACTTCAATAAAATAATTAATTTATTGGTAAATCGGTAAAACATGTGAAAACGGCTTGCCTTGCGACAAAGTGGGGGATAAGATTCTCAGAGATAGAGCTGGAATCATCGCTCACCTCCTGTATGTCTGAGCTGGAAACGCCGCTCACCCCATGTATGAGCTAGAATCTCCGCCCACCCCGTGTATGTCTGAGCTGGAATCTCCGCCCACCCCGTGTATGTCTGAGCTGGAATCTCCGCCCACCCCGTGTATGTCTGAGCTGGAATCTCCGCCCACCCCGTGTATGTCTGAGCTGGAATCTCCGCCCACCCCGTGTATATCTGAGCTGGAATCTCCGCCGACCCTGTGTATATCTGAGCTGGAATCTCCGCCCACCCCGTGTATGTCTGAGCTGGAATCTCCGCCCACCCCGTGTATGTCTGAGCTGGAATCTCCGCCCACCCCGTGTATGTCTGAGCTGGAATCTCCGCCCACCCCGTGTATGTCTGAGCTGGAATCTCCGCCCACCCCGTGTATGTCTGAGCTGGAATCTCCGCCCACCCCGTGTATATCTGAGCTGGAATCTCCGCCCACCCCGTGTATATCTGAGCTGGAATCTCCGCCCACCTCGTGTATATCTGAGCTGGAATCTCCGCCCACCCCGTGTATGTCTGAGCTGGAATCTCCGCCCACCCCGTGTATGTCTGAGCTGGAATCTCCGCCCACCCCGTGTATGTCTGAGCTGGAATCTCCGCCCACCCCGTGTATGTCTGAGCTGGAATCTCCGCCCACCCCGTGTATGTCTGAGCTGGAATCTACGCCCACCCCGTGTATGTCTGAGCTGGAATCTCCGCCCACCCCGTGTATATCTGAGCTGGAATCTCCGCCCACCTCCTGTATGTCTGAGCTGGAATCTCCGCTCACCTCCTGTATGTCTGAGCTGGAATCTCCGCCCACCCCGTGTATGTCTGAGCTGGAAACGCCGCCCTCCCATGTATGTCTCAGCTGGAATCTCCGCTCACCTCCTGTATGTCTGAGCTTGAATCTCCGCTCACCTCCTGTATGTCTGAGCTGGAATCTCCGCTCACCCCGTGTATGTCTGAGCTGGAATCTCCGTTCACCCCATGTATGTCTGATCTAGAATCTCCGCTCACCCCGTGTATGTCTGAGCTGGAATCTCCGCCCACCTCCTGTATGTCTGAGCTGGAATCTCCGCTCACCCCGTGTATGTCTGAGCTGGAATCTCCGCTCACCTCCTGTATGTCTGAGCTTGAATCTCCGCTCAACTCCTGTATGTCTGAGCTGAAGACTCCACTCACCTCATGTATATCTGAGCTGGAATCTCCGCCGCCACGCTATGTATGTCTGAGCTGGAATCTCCGCTCACCCCATGTATGTCTGAGCTGGAATCTCCGCTCACCTTATCTATGTCTGAGCTGGAATCTCCGCTCACCTAATGTATGCCTGAGCTGGAATCTCCGCTCACCTAATGTATGCCTGAGCTGGAATCTCCGCTCACCCCATGTATGTCTGAGCTGGAATCTCCACTCAACTTATGTATGTCTGAGCTGGAATCTCCGCTCACCTAATGTATGCCTGAGCTGTGCAACTTCGCACATCATTTTGTTTTTGACGTTTTAGTATGTATTCCGTTCAATGTGTTTATGTTGTTGTTGTTCCGGAACGATGATGCTTGTGATGTCCTCCCTCCCCCCTTCCCCCTAAGAGTTAATGTCCCGGAGACGGCATGACGTTCATTGTCAACACTTTACATGTTTGCATACACCAAGTTCCGTTCAAGTTTCGTTAGGCTATAGATCGTCACCTTGACAACGTTCTAACTGCCATGCTTCACTTTCTTTCCCGCGATCTCTGGTCATGCCACGATAGTGATTCCTCAGCATCTAGTGTCCTCGTCGCATCTCTCCATGACACAGTGCGTAAGATGGATTTAACGCCGCTTTGAACAAAATTTCAGTTACATGACGGCGTGACAGTTTGGTATGGGAGCGAAGCCCGAAGCGATGCCGATCTTAGACATTTACTACTTTGGCGGAACACAGGCACAGGTTGGTGCTGAAACACCTAGAAACATAATCTTGGATTCGAACCCATTATCATAGGATAATGGCGCGTCTAAGGGACGCAGTTTGTCAGCACCATACCCGTGCTTTGGTTTCACCGAAGTGGTAAACGTCTGAGACCTGACACGCCATGATATAACTGGAATACTGTTAAAAGCGGCGTTAAACCCAACTCACTCACTCACTCACTCTAAGGGACGCAACCCTATACGGCGAATTGACGCGTCTACGAGATATTATATATACACCATTTAAAACTATAGAAGTGCATCATTTAGAAACGATATAAGGGGGAATGGTTTGTATTAGATTTATTTACTTTAGAAAAGATAGATGGGTTGTTTAATCAGATATGTCATATCCGGGGTAGAAATGTCTTCAGCAACCCATGATTGCCGTGAAAGTTGACTATGACTAACGGGATCGGGTGGCCAGGCTCGCTGACTTGGTTGACAAACAACAACTATAATTTATGAAAGATAGAAGGGTTGTTTAATCAGATATATCATACATATAATTTAGAAAAGGAAGATGGGTTGTTTCACCAGATATATCATTTACATAATTTATGAAAGATAGAAGGGTTGTTTAATCAGATATATCATACATATAATTTAGAAAAGAAAGATGGGTTGTTTAATCAGATATATCATTTACATAATTTATGAAAGATAGAAGGGTTGTTTAATCAGATATATCATTTACATAATTTATGAAAGATAGAAGGGTTGTTTAATCAGATATATCATACATATATTTTAGAAAAGAAAGATGGGTTGTTTAATCAGATATATCATTTACATAATTTATGAAAGATAGAAGGGTTGTTTAATCAAATATATTATACATATAATTTAGAAAAGAAAGTTGGGTTGTTTTATCAAATATATCATTTACATAATTTATGAAAGATAGAAGGGTTGTTTAATCAGATATATCATACATATAATTTAGAAAAGTAGATGTGTTGTTTAATCAGATATATCATTTACATAATTTATGAAAGATAGAAGGGTTGTTTAATCAGATATATCATACATATAATTTAGAAAAGAAAGATGGGTTGTTTAATCAGATATATCATTTACATAATTTATGAAAGATAGGAGGGTTGTTTAATCAGATATATCATAAATATAATTTAGAAAAGGAAGATGGGTTGTTTAATCAGATATATCATTTACATAATTTATGAAAGATAGAAGGGTTGTTTAATCAAATATATCATACATATAATTTAGAAAAGAAAGATGGGTTGTTTAATCAGATATATCATTTACATAATTTATAAAAGTTAGAAGGGTTGTTTAATCAGATATATCATAAATATAATTTAGAAAAGAAAGATGGGTTGTTTAATCAGATATATCATTTACATAATTTATGAAAGATAGAATGGTTGTTTAATCAGATATATCATACATATAATTTAGAAAAGGAAGATGGGTTGTTTAATCAGATATATCATTTACATAATTTATGAAAGATAGAAGGGTTGTTTAATCAGATATATCATACATATATTTTAGAAAAGATAGATGGGTTGTTTATAACAAATATTATTTGGAAAAGATATTGTATCGGATATGTTAACTTCATCATTTGAAACGAATGAGGAAAGGGGTTGTAACGGATATGATAGATGGAGACAAAGATCTGTTTCGGATGTATTAAATACAACATTTAGAAACGATATAAGCGGTAATGGTTTGTATAAGATATACTAGTATATTTTTTGTTTGTTTGTTGTTTAACGCCGCACTCAGCAATATTCCAGCTATATGACGGCGGTCTGTAAATAATCGAGTCTGGATCAGACAATCCAGTGATTGACATCATGAGCATCGATCCGCGCAATTGGGATCGATGATATGCATCAACCAAGTCAGCGAGCCTGACCACCCGATCACGTTCGTCGCCTTTTACGACAAGCATAGTCGCCTTTTACGGCAAGCATGGGTTGCTGAAGACCTATTCTACCCCGGAATCTTCACGGGTCACTAGTATATAAAATGAGTCAATTTCCCTAATATACATAATATCGTTGCTGATGTTGTCATAACCATTGGTTAGTTGTTCCTGGCTGTGATTTGACCGTGAGGGGGTGAAATGGAGTTTAACGTCGCTTTCGGGATCATTGCACTTACATAGCCCGATGGCAGGGTAACAAAAGTACATTCGTATAAAGCTTTTTGGTATGACGCGGCGGGAATATAGGCCTTAAATAACGCGGACAATAAACCGACATAAATAACATTCTTCTCTTACATTCACACTGTAGTCAAAACACAACTATATAACATCTTAACATCTAATGGTTTATTATCAATGTATACAAGATACAGTGCAGATAATACTCTTAGCGAGAGTCCCTCGATACAACGCAGCGGTTCATGTAATGTTTGACGCATATGGCTTATGCTACTTCACTGGTAAGGATGAGGAAGGCACCATCCATGTTGGAATATAGTGAACATTGACAGTGAGCGAAGAAATGTGCAAACGCTGTGATCTGCTATAGAGTTAGTCGGCGGTGCTACGGGTCATTTATAGGGTGCTGGAAACCTAGCCTGTCGACCATAACTGAGTTCTCCACTATAGCTTGGCAATATCCATGGTCTTGTTCTCATGTCTAGGTTCACACGCTTGTGTAGAGTGTGTTTGCTGTTTAATGCTGGTTGGTTGGTTGGTGTGTTGTTTAACGCCACACTCAGCAATATTCCATCTATATGACGGCGGTCTGTAAATAATCGAGTCTGGACCACACAATCCAGCGATGGACATCATGAGCATCGACCTACGCAAGTGGGCTACAATGATATGCATCAACCAAGTCAGAGAGCCTGACCACCCGATCCCGTTCGTCGCCTCTCACACAAGCGTAAGTTGCTGAAGACCTATTCTACAACCTGGATGTTCACGTGATCATCATGTATGGGTGTGTTTTTTTCAAAATGAGGTCAATGTCATATATGTAGATATTTTCAAAAGATAAATTCGGAATACATGTACATGAAAGAAAAAAAAAGGTTCTTAGATCATTTTCGTGTTGAATACATCATACAATTTCAGTTAGCAGACCAAGCGATGTTTGGACGACTAATCAAATATAGCTGGGACTTTCACTTGACCCTGGTCTATATGGACCATATTAACATGGCCTTTAGACTCTTTGTCAACATTGTTGACATGATAGCAGCGAAATCAACAGGTAACCCGTAGCAACGTATGTGCAACAGAGCGTGCTGTCATCCCAATGACTCAGCCTTTTCCTGTTATATTTGGTTGAATTGATAAGAGTGTAACAAAACAAATGACGTTTCGATAAAATAATGATAATGATTATCAACAAATGTATGCATCCAAAACGCTAATAACATTATACATTCAATGTCGGCCATGACTGGAGTTGAACGTTTAATCACACAATACAGACTTGATGCCGCAGTTCCTGCGACCAACTTGAAAAGGAAGCACCTCAAAAATCCTTAACAAAGACATTCTCTCAAGAACGAAGAGCATTGAATGTGCCTCGTTTGTCCAGCGCTTAGTCTCTGAAAATATATAACTTTAATAGAAACAAACAACTCCATTCAAAATGCTCCAGTGTGATGGGAGATTCAGAACCTGTAGAAAATCTAGACTTGCTTCATTTGGAGTTATAGCATTACAGCAAGGGCTGGGCGAAAGGGAAAATAATATGATTCAGGGACTGGGGCACACTAGTGTCTCGTTCTCTAAATTGAAAATAATATAACAGAGTCTCTAGTTGTCTCGACATAAGAACACCACAGATAAAATACATGATTTATACTACACACAATACACTATAATGTATTACATAAATACTGACAGAGTATGTACAACGTTTGATAGTATAAATACATACATATAATAATCACACTGTATACATTATTCATACATATAATCACACTGTACAATCATGGCATTGTGAAACAGCGGTACATGCCTCGCGTAGTACATGTAATGTCACTGATGGAAACGGGGTGGGGATGGGCACTCATGCACATGGGTGGTGGGGAAGCGTAGTGGTCCGGGTTCGATTTCCAACGAGGGTACGTGTGAAGCCCACTTTCCAGTGCCCCACGCCGTGTTATTGCAGGAATATTGCTAGAAGCGGCGTAAAATCCTTCTCAGGTAAATGGACAATTTTAATGACAAACCTTGACCATTTATAAACGAATAATGCCAGCTGCCGGGTGATAGAAACAAAATCTCCATATGCTATTCAATGAAACCTCGTTAACTACTAGTGACCCACGAAACTAGGTCGCGTTATCCCTGTATGAGAAAAGCGGAGCGTTGTTGGGGACGCTGTGAGGATCCCAATGTTTCTCCTCAAGCGACGTGTGGTCAGAGGCGGGCGGGCTGGACAGGTTTCGCCGTACATTACGTGTGCCCTCATTTCCATTTAAGCATTTATAAGGAATCTGCATATATTTTACAACAAAGTCAATCTGTATCGTTTCTATTATAAAGATGTTATGAAAACTGTACAAAATGTGCTCAGTACAGGAAACATACCTCAGCACTCGATTATTACCTATGTCCCTTAATCCTGAAATAGTACATTGGAACAAATATATAAGGCCTTGTTTCTAATCGATGTACTCTTTTTGTGGAAATACGACAATAGTAATGTAGTTCTAGCAACATGACAAATGTACATGGGCAAGAATTAAAAATATTCAGTCTGATGTTAGCTTTTATACCTACGGCTGGTAAAGCATCGTCGAGACGTTGCCATAAGATACATATATCTTACGTGCGGTATAGTAGATGTGTTTCTGACAACAGGTCTGTACAAAATATACCAGATTTAAGCACCGCGTACGATACATTTTTATATGAACTTTCAATTTAATGGCAAAACACAAACATTTTTGTTTACGATGATACATTCTCAAAATGAAAAATTAATTAATTAAACATTAAGAATCCTTTATCTATTGACACGTGACTAGTAGAAAATGTAACATGTTGTACGACTCGCGTCTGTAACTGATTTACTTCAGGTCAATGGTAATTTGACCTTGAATACTTCTGTCCCCCTTGCGTCCTCTGCTACTTTCTATATATGACCCAGTCCTTGCGACCACGTGGAGGAGTGAGTGAGTATGGTTTTTCGCCGCTTTAGGAGGAACGCAAAGTGTGAATGTTAACATTTATCAAAATGACATCAGTGGCATATGTAGGTATTCACAAGATTGTTTGTTGTTTTACGCCCCACGCAGCAATATTCCAGCTACATGACGGCGGTCTGTAAATAATCGAGTCTGGACCAGACAATCCAGTGATTAACATCATGAGCATCGATCCACGACATTGAGATACGATGGTATGCATCAACCAAGTCAGCGAGCCTGACCACCCGATCCCATTATTCGTCTCTTACGACAAGCATAGTCGCCTCGCCGGCAAGCATAGGTTACTGAAGACCCATTCTACCCCGGATCATCACGGGTAGAGTTATGATAAGATATTTACAAGAGATACATGGAAGTTAGGTAGAGATGAAAATATAGAACTTGTTCTGTTTTTCCAGGTGTATAGCTTGTACGTAATGGTGTCAACTTAAAGGACGCATCGCAACAGTGTAAGCCAATGAGTGAGTGAGTGAGTATGGTTTCACGCCGCTTTTAGCAATATTCCAGCAATATCACGGCGGGGGACACCAGAAATGGGCTTCACACATTGTACCAATGTCGGGAATCGAACCCGGGTCTTCGGCGTGACGAGCGAACGCTTTAACCACTAGGCTACCCGACCGCCCCTGTAAGCCAATGAATGAGTGGATGAGAAGGCAATGCGTGTTTTGAGCAGGTGTGACAGTTATGGCATTCCGAGGATCACCTCGCAATAAAATATCAGATTGAATTTCTTGTTTGCAGCTATCAAGGTCGCTTTATGTCTACGAGAATCTGGAACCGAGAAAGCTATTCACTTGAATATGCTTACCCAACGACTGTCCTTGTGACCTGTAACTGACCTCGATTTTCAGGTGTCTGACGGACACGGAGTTACATTGTGGAGGACTCATACATTGTAGTTAGTCTTGATGCGAGTCCAAACATTGTAATTACGTCTCTGTTGGCGCATCCTCGATAATGCAGAGCACTATATCTCCATACTATCGTGATAAATACCCTGGACCCATTCTCCACCATAGCTTCGTCATGAGTAAAAGCCGAAACAAATTTTAAATTCCACGCACAGAGAAATTCTTTGCGAAGTTACAGATCAGAGAATTAAGATGTTACGTCACTTTCAAAACGAATCAATGGTGTTGAATGGGTCCAAGCTAATTGTATCAGAACAAAAATGGTGATAACTGGATTATCAATGATGCTGTGTGTGTGGTTTCAATCTCGTGTGTTTCACAAAGTTGTCCGTTCCCTGCTGAACACGCTGAAGCGTCTCTTGATGGTTGCGCGGATCTGTTTCGGCGACCCGAGCGGCACGTGTGACAGCTTGCGCTGGCTCTTCGTGGAACCCTCTCGCTTTTCTATCACCTGGAACAAAACATACATCCGTCAGTCCTATTTATAAACTTCCAAGTTGTTCAAAATGCGCCTCCGGCAATATTCAAATATCACGACGCTGACATCAAGAAATCTACCCAAATGGAGAATTAATCCTGGACCTTCGGAATGACAAGCGGGCGCTTTAACCACTAGCCTACCAACAATACCCTTAACACAACTAGGATTTTACCAAGAAAGAAACAATCACAGCCTAAACTTTCTACACTGATTGAAATCCCATCACAGGGGTTAACGCTGTGTTCCCATACACCTGCCCGCACCAGGTAACCTGGCCACGTGTCGACAGCGCAGATTATTTTGGTGGTCCGTCTGCCTCAGACAAATCTTAGCGGCCTAAAAGTCACGGCAGCTATTTCCTGCCTGGCGACTTCATAATTACTCTATTTTCCAATAAACGCCGACGGTGATGCCCGTGTCACGTGAAACAACATAATCTGAGTCACGTGCTTGTACGTGAATCAAGGCCAACCTTGCTACATTTACGCTGAAGCATCATGTGTATTATTAACTGCGTTTTCAGATGTACTGGAGTGATACCTCGACGGATATCATAAATATATTGAGAGTGAGTGAGTATGTATTTACGCCGCTTACAACAATGTCGGGGACATACATACGCTTCACACCAACATTGCATCAAACAAGAGTCAAAGCAACATGTGTGGGCGTGTTAATTACCACGTCATCACCTCAGACTGTCAAGACATATACATAGTAAAACGTCGAAGTCGTAGTGATTATCGAGAGTGTTATTCACATTTCGCGAGATAAAAACTCAAGGATGATATTTATCCTATCAAAATGGACATTTCTTGAAAAGCGCACTTTGCAATTTTTTGTCCTTTCTGTTAGTAATATTCCTTATCGGTGGAATGGTTTGTGTTTACTCTATAAGTACTAGCGCACATGCAGCCATCTTCGTAAATTAATGTGAGGAATCGAACCCGGGCTTCGACGTGACGAGCCAACGCTTTAACCACTAGACTACTCCACAGCCCCGTCGAGATGAGTGAGTGAGTGAGTGAGTATGGTTTTACGCCGCTTTTAGCAATATTCCAGCAATATCACGGCGGGGGACACTAGAAATGGGCTTCACACATTGTACCCATGTCGGGAATCGAACCCGGGTCTTCTGCGTGACGAGCGAACGCTTTAACCACTAGGCTACCCGACCGCCCCCCGTCGAGATGATGAAGGTCAACTTAACGATCCCGAGACCCCGCAACGCTTGTAGCTTTCGTTTTCGTTGAGAAAAAACAAAATTATCATTTGTATTTTTTCCTTCATGGTCGACACATTATGGGTGAGGTAATAATTCCACAAGTCAAGATCAATCAGAGCTATTCTGTTAGCGCGATCGTTAGTTTACTATTCTATGATAAAACGCACTTGTTCATCGCAAAAGTATGTCTTGTTACCGTATGTAATTATCATAGCATCTTACACAAGAAGTGAGATGTCAAGAAACTAAACCCGCATTAGTCAAAATCAGCGCGCACCCAATTGTATCAATACATTGCGCGTACGAGGGGAACAAATTCGTGATTTCCCGTTAACGCTTTGCTGATAACGCCCTCTGTTGTGAGAATTGGTTTCCTTACTTTCAGCGGAAGTCGGCAACGAACCATTAGCAACAAATCTGTACTTGTCCTTAACCAGGCGGTACTTTAGCACCGAAACAGCCTTGCCTGTTTCTTGGCTCACAAAGGCATAGCCTGATTTACATGTGGCCGAGGCAAGATAGACACCTATCTGTAGTTTATGCTAGAACCCCTGTGTATTGGTTAACAACACAACTTTCAGGGAGCAGATAAACCCGTCATCGGCTATTGCACGGAAACTCAAACAATAAATCCATCAAGATAATTAGAAGAAGCGTTTCTTAGTTCAGCAAACAAATATAATTGAGAAAGGAATGTTTGTGAACATAGTCATGATGTCGGGTGTTGTTGCGTTAACCGAGATTTCGCGAAAAACTTAACGAGATGTTAAACTCTGCCTCCAGTTTTGTTGAGGAAAACAACTGATAAAGACGTCCTGGTGCCATATACTAATAATGAACACGTTAATACTATTGACCTTTCTGTAAGCCGCAACACTGCCAGGCTATAAGAAACAATTAATGATGTTTTCAATGTGCGTTTGAAGAACGGTAAAACGGACTGATGTGTAAATGTGGATGACATAATCATGATAATGGCTCATCTACACGATAACATATTTATAAACAAACAACAGTAGATGAATTTGAACATTTTTCTTCTCATTTTGTTTCACCATGTCCGGTTATGACCTGCTTCGGGATTATCCTCCATTACCGGAAGTGACTTAGGGATCAAGATCTGTCCGGTACTGACATACAAGATTAAGATAGACCAGCTTAGGGATTATCCTCCATTACAGGAAGTGACGTAGGGATCAAGATCTGTCCGGTACTGACACCCAAGATTAAGATAGACCAGCTTAGGGATTATCCTCCATTAGAGGAAGTGACGTCGGGATTAAGATCTGTCCGGTACTGACACTCAATATTAAGATAGACCAGCTTAGGGATTATCCTCCATTACAGGAAGTGGCGTAGGGATCAAGATCTGTCCTCTAATGACACCCAAGATTAAAATAGTACAGCTTAGGGATTATCCTCCATTAGAGGAAGTGACGTAGGGATCAAGATCTGTCCGGTACTGACACCCAAGATTCAAATAGACCAGCTTAGGGATTATCCTCCATTAGAGGAAGTGACGTAGGGATCAAGATCTGTCCGTAACTGACACCCAAGATTAAGATAGATCAGCTTAGGGATTATCCTCCATTACAGGAAGTGACGTAGGGATCAAGATCTGTCCTCTAATGACACCCAAGATTAAGATAGACCAGCTTAGGGATTATCCTCCATTAGAGGAAGTGACGTAGGGATCAAGATCTGTCCGGTACTGACACCCAAGATTCAAATAGACCAGCTTAGGGATCATCCTCCATTTGAGGAAGTGACGTAGGGATCAAGATCTGTCCGTAACTGACACCCAAGATTAAGATAGACCAGCTTAGGGATTATCCTCCATTACAGGAAGTGACGTAGGGATCAAATTCTGTCCGGTACTGACATACAAGATTAAGATAGACCAGCTTAGGAATTATCCTCCATTACAGGAAGTGACGTAGGGATCATGATCTGTCCGGTAATGACACCCAAGATTAAGATAGACCAGCTTAGGGATTATCCTCCATTACAGGACGTGACGTAGGGAACATGATCTGTCCGGTAATGACACCCAAGATTAAGATAGACCAGCTTAGGGATTATCCTCTATTACAGGAAGTGACGTAGGGATCAAGATATGTCCTCTAATGACACCCAAGATTAAGATAGACCAGCTTAGATTATCCTCTATTACAGGAAGTGACGTAGGGATCGAGATCTGTCCTCTAATGACACCCAAGATTATGATAGATCAGCTTAGGGATCATCCTCTATTACAGGAAGTGACGTAGGGATCAAGATCTGTTCTCTAATGACACCCAAGATTAAGATAGATCAGCTTAGGGATTATCCTCAATACAGGAAGTGACGTAGGGATCAAGATCTGTCCTCTAATGACACCCAAGATTAAGATAGTACAGCTTAGGGATTATCCTCCATTAAAGGAAGTGGCGTAGGGATCAAGATCTGTCCGGTACTGACACCCAAGATTAAGATAGACCAGCTTAGGGATTATCCTCTATTAGGGGAAGTGACGTAGGGATCAAGATCTGTCCGGTACTGACACCCAAGATTAAGATAGACCAGCTTAGGGATTATCCTCCATTACATACAGGAAGTGACGTAGGGATCAAGATCTGTCCTCCAAGACACCCAATATTAAGATAGATCAGCTTAGGGATTATCCTCGATTACAGGAAGTGACGTAGGGATCAAGATCTGTCCGGTACTGACACCCAAGATTAAGATAGATCAGCTTAGGGATTATCCTCTATTAGAGGAAGTGACGTAGGGATCATGATCTGTCCGGTACTGACGCCCAAGATTTAGATAGATCGCTTAGGGATTATCCTTATTTTCAGGAAGTGACGTAGGGATCATGATCTGTCCGGTACTGACACCCAAGAATAAGATAGACCAGCTTACGGATTATCCTCCATTAGAGGAAGTGACGTAGGGATCAAGTTCTGTCCGGTAATGACACCTAAGATCAAGGTAGATTAGCCCTAGCCATATACTCGTTGATATGATGCATGTTATATCGCCTATGATACCCGCACCAATTGCATTGCATCGAATAATCATTTCTTGTTTGGTCATTCTTAGCCTATCCGTGAAGATCTGGGGTTAGCACTGGTCTTCAGCAACCCATGCTTGTCGAAAGAGGCGACCAGCGGGATCGGTGACCAGGCTCGGTCACTTGGTTGATGCATGTTAATTGCAGGTCAATTGTCCGGTCCATACTCGATTATTTACAGACCGCTGCTATACAGCTGGAATATTGCTGAAGGTGGCGTTAAGCAACAAACAAACGTTTTCATTTTTAGCTACATATCAAACAAAGATGAGTGTAGCATACGGAAAAAGCCGAGTTGACCCGAATGCACTGACCTTCCTGATGAGGCTGTGGAATGCATCAACAACGCCGTCGGAGTCCTCGCACGCTGAACACTCCGTGCTGAGGAAGACGACGCCTTGGTACTCGCTGTCGAAGTTGTTGAGCGACCGCGATAACACCCTGAAAACAAAGGACACCTATATCACCTGCATGTTTCATACAACATACGCCCGTGTGCTGAACATGTGATAACGAATGTTATGACACGGGCATAGCCATCGTTGTTATGACAGAGCATAAGACGGTTTTCATAAACATATTTGCTTTACATATCTAAAGTATTTTGCGGGCAGCTAGGAAAACAAGTAAAAACATGATGATTTGACGTTTCGATTCATCATCATTTACGCCTGGTGAAAGACGATCTACGCGACCGATAACCCATGTCATATAGGGTTTTTATGCCCTGTGGAATCTTGATTCGACATATATTCGAGACTGATCGTTCTCTGATGTCGACGTTTTGAATATATAATGTAATATAGGTAGGAGTGAGTGAATATCCGAAGCAGATTTAAACCCATCCGATCCGATCAGATCCGATACGATCCGATATGTCTTACTTATCCCTAAAATGCAATACGCCACGTGTCGTATATGTGACCAACAATCGGCGTCACATGTACTTACTGTACATTGAATAGCATATACAATATAAAACGACAAAGCCATGAAATAACCATGCAGTTTCGATTATCCCATGAAAAAGATTTCAATTGGGGGTAAAATGAGAGATTAAGGTTAAAATTATGTGAATGGATCATTGAAAGTCAGTGATGACACCAGGTGCTTGGGAAAAGGGTAAGCATGTCCTGCCCCACAAGAATACTTCTATACTTGAAATGTCTACAAATTGTGTTTCGTGAGATATGTTTTGCAAAAAGAGTGGTACTTTTGATTCAATTATTGGTCTGTGGGTGAGTTTTTGTGCCCCTTATCCCAAGAAATATTTTCATACATTTTACCAATGTGAAAGGTAATGGCGCTTATGGATGGTTGAATTAATGTTATCAAACAATCATATCACCATTGAATTATTTCCCATAACCCGATATCCTCTGTATTCTATATTGGAAATTATCCTGACATACAAACAACACTCAGCTAGTTTTATCTAGTTACGGTTTTGTTCATATTCTTTACCTCAGGTGGTCCATATCACATTTATTCCCCAGCACCAACACTGGAAGATTGGGGTTTGACTTCCGGTCCCGCTTGAGCCAATCTACAATATTCTCTGCGACTTCATAGCTCTGTCTGTCTGTGATGGAGTAGACCACCACAACTGCGTCAACTTTAGAAAAGATTTCTTTTGAAGACGAGCGGCGCTCCAAGATCTGGAAATAAACCAGATAAATAAATACAAACGACAACAGATAGAAGTATGTATTGTTTTTGTGGTGCGACTAAAATACTTACATGGGATCGGAATCACTGAACGTCAACAACAACAAAAACGTTTGGGGATTTTTATTTTGTTTTTATATGGCTCTCAAAAGAGTTTATTGTCCATCCTATAATTGCTCAATGTTATAAGCGTGCGAAAAAGGATATTGTGAGGTATTTCTTTGACACTGCGGATTCACAATTGTTTCTATTCATGGTTTACCAATATATTCCATGGCAGCGATTTTGAGTTCTTGGTCAGATTTGGGAACAAAGGAAACTTCAAAGATATGAGTTTGGTTTAACCCTTTGAAAAATATTTCAGTTGTAACGGCGTAAGATCTTAATGTCGACAAAAAAGTGACGCAGGTGATACAGAAAAAAGTTAGGTTTGTTTGTTTGTTGCTTAACGCCGCACTCAGCAATATTCCAGCTATATTGCGGCGGTCTGTAAATAATCGAGTCTGGACCAGACAATCCAGTGATTGCCATCATGAGCATCGATCCACGCAATTGAGATACGATGACATGCATAGTCGCCTTTTACGGTAAACATGGGTTGCTGAAGACCTATTCTACCCCGGATCTTCACGGGTCACCAGTTAGGTAAAACCAAGAGGATCGAGTAAGGTGCAGCCACACCAAGGATCATAGCGGGGTCGAAACTTGGAATCGAACCAACGAACGGCGAATTCACGGAAGCAACTACTACTAGCAGTAGTGCTGATAGTGCCAGTGCTGGCGGTGGTGGTGATTGTAGTAGTGATAGCGTTAGGTCACATTTTTTTAAATTTAATGTTGCGAGGATTTATTCCAGCTTTTCCATACAAGGTCGGTCGAACTATAATTAAAAATAAATAGCCATGTCAATCAGTTATTTACTTATAAGAAAGTCACCTTGCCGTGGCGTTAAAACTGGAACTGGCTTCTTGAATCACTGTTAGTGATGTACATAGACATGGAATTTATATATAACACTTTATGTTGTATAAGAGGGTCTATAAATAAATATTTTGATGTTTAATTTATTTCTTTTCCAGCTGTTTTTCGGCAGGGGCGGTGGGCCCGTGAAACGAAAAAAATATATGGAAAATTAGTGGCAGTGGTTGTACGAGTAGTAGTAGTAGTAGTAGTAGTAGTAGTAGTAGTAGTAGTAGTAGTTGTTGTTGTTGTTGTTGTTGTTGTTGTTGTTGTTGTTGTTGTTGTTGTTGTTGTTGTTGTAATGGTAGAAATACCAGCTGCCATCAATGGCGACCTAAGCTATAGAAGACCTAAATTGGCGCTGTCTGGACGCAGTGCAGCTCAATTGGTCGGCTTTTAAATTTCACAATCTGAATTCCAAGTAAGAATTTAAAAGACACGACGTAAATAATGTGCCATTTTAATTAAATCCTGAAGATGTCGTAATTGCGTAGGCAACAGAAAAGACATAACAACTACGATATAAACCGTCAGTAAGATCCTAAAAGACAGGTCAATTTGTCCCCAAAACACTCACACTTCATCTTTGACGTTTTCGATTGTCAAATAAATTGCTAAGGATGTGTGGCAATTTTTAAGTAAACACTGCATTCATCAAGTTAAAACATCCATGTCACCCGCCTCTGTATCAGACCTGACGTGAGGCACCAGATTAGGAAGCTATGCATCAACCAGTGCACGTTTACTATGTTGCAGCCATGTAAATACACGCGTTGTGTCGTGCATCCCGATATCACGGTTGGCAGGTGCCCGACTGAGACATACCAACCCCTCTAATTACACAGTGTCGAGTGACTGAGATATGGTGCTAGTGTTTTTCGGAATAAAAGTATAAACCAAAAAAATGTTAAAATGATGTACACCATTTATCTATTTCTATGCCCAGCGCAGTGAACTTGCTTTAAGATACACATCAGCTATCTGACGCCTCCGTGGTCTTGTGGTAGAGGGTCCGCCCGGTGAGCGGAAGGTCGGGGGTTCGATCCCCGGCCGCGTCATACCAAAATCAGTATACAGTGTTTGAGTGGGGTATTCATGTTAAACTGCGGTATGGTATCTCAGTGGGCGAGCACTATAAAATCGACATGAGTCTGGACTAGTACAAGCAGCCACACACACACGCGCGCGCATGCACGTCGATATATAAGTGCAATAATCTTGAACGCGAGCACCCCATTTCACCCCACCCCATTCAACTGTCGCACTCAAAGGTACCAGACTCTAAATGTGTCAACCTTGGAAGTTAAAGACAATGGAATGTTACGACTTTTTACTAATATTGTAACATCTCGTCAAGACTGACATTTCGTGTCTGTAATGGTAAGATTTTAAGTTACGGACTTTTAAACCTATTGGTAAGACTGACGAGCATGTTGCTTCACAATTAATCTGAGGCACAGTTTTAGCAATATTTCTGTAATATCCCGTTTGGGAACAGCACAGAAATGGTTTTCACACATGGTGGGGAATAGAACCCGGGTATTCGGCGTAACGAGAAAACACTTTTACCACTAGGCTACCCCGCAGCCCCAGAAGGTGTGATGTGTGTGTGATGCACATGGATTGTAGACAATGGCATGTCACGTGTCTACTTCATCATGGCAAGCACCTGTTGACTGCATGGAGAGCGGGTTGTTTACCTTCCGCGGCATTGATTGACATACGTTTGCGAAACCAAAAAAACTCCCACCGTTATCTTGCCAACATACACTAGACACAAAGGCATTAGGAAGACACGAGACACCAGCAACATGAGACAAATGGCATTCCGTTGACCATGTTTTTTCACTAGTGTCACTACGCAAGCACGTGTTGGTTGGTGTATTTCGTAATTAAACTCCATCTGCACATTTGAAAAAATCCCTCGTGAACCCAAAGCATTACTGTGTGTAAATCAAATTTGTTTGTTTGTTTCTTTGTTGTATAACGCCGCACTCAGCAGTATTCCAGCTATATGACGGCGGTCTGTAAATAATCGAATCTGGACCAGACAATCCAATAATTGATATCATGAGCATCGATCCACGCAATTGGAATACGATGACTTACATCAACCAATGCAGTGAGTCTGACCACCCGATCCCGTTAGTCGCCTTTTACGGCAAGCATGGGTTGCTGAAGACCTATTCTACCCCAGATCTTCACGGGTATCTCCACATAGGTACAGTGACTGAAGCCCCTGCCCTGAGTGAAGGAAACCTGCCGTTAAAAGCGACGTTAAATCATTTTCACTCACTCATAACAAGCACTTGCACATATTCAACAGTCGATTTAGAAAAATACAACTACGAACACTATTTGTTAAAATTCCAACCGAGAAGTCTTCCGTCTACTCCAGACTAGCTGTTTTTTTAATGGAGTACAACGTGTATGTCCCAATCTGCGTTGATAAACCACAGTGCCCAGCTGATGGCAATGCATGGCCCCCGTTCGTGAGTACTCGTGTCATTCCGGGACAAACCTTGCAGCTAACGGTGACGAATGAATGCCCGTGAACCACTTCGTCCTTCTTGAGCAGAACACGTTGTAGAATGTAAAACACATACTTGTAAGTTGACATGATACATCTCATGCCTCTCAGGAAGCTGCACGTGCAAACCCGCTTGCAACTGCACACCGAGGGAAGGGTTGTCCTGACCAGCACGTGGGAGTTGGCTCCCGATCTCTGCTGCATATCCTGCCGTAACGGCTTATTTACATCACATCGACGGTAGGTTGGGGTGGCCTGGTGTGGGTACAAAGCGATCACTCCTCACGCTGGGCCCGGGCTAGACTAACATTTAGTCTCTGAAATCTTATGTTACACAACATCCTTCTTGACTCTAAAAATAAAAAAGAATTTCCCTATGCTGATTTCAGCTGTGGAATAGAGCTAGCTTGAGCTGGCTAGACTTGCTTTTGTATGCGTTTCTAGATTTTTTTTCCATAAAATAAATATATTCCATGGTCATGGTGCAGGACTAGGCCCGGGCTCAAAGCCCGAACTCCCCTTCATGATACTGCCGCACGATCGCATCCAAAAGCGGGAGAGATATGACAATCGGTAATTATAGATGGGAGAAAAGGTTCAGGACATCGACGTGAGGATTGTGAGAATACCCCGGAAATACCCACCTGAGCATAAAATGGACTTGTCCGACATTGCCGGGGTCGTATTCTATCGAGGGTGTCATCATTATTTAAATACGGGCAATCTTTTGTAAAACTTGACTGTACATTTTATCATCATCCTTAAAGAGGCTGTACATAATGTTCATATATAAGAATTAAACGACTCGTCGCTGCGCCCTTCATGGTTTATTCTCCCTGCAGCGTTTTATTGTACGATAAATAACTACCACCCGTCGTTTATTTCTTTGATAAGTAGGTAAAACTATACTCACTCTCTCTCATTATTTACACTCAATAACTCACTATACAGAGAGACTTAACGGAGAAACAAACGAAAGTACACTGAGTTTGTTTGTTATGTAATTGAAAATTGAAAGAAGTGTTCGTTCCTGCCATAGTATTCTGTGGCTGGGTAATGTTGTGTAAACATAAATTGGTTCAATGAAGATTTGGGTTAGAAATGGATTTGAAACCACATGGTCCCTTTCATATTTGAAATGTAAATATGTGCGGATAAAAGCAAATTTATTGACTTTCAAAGGTGAGATAGCAAGAGAACAATTATCAGTTGTGTATTATGCGAAAACATAGTTTTACTTTTTAATGTTTTAAATGAAACTATATTTTAAATAATAAAACCATGAAGAAGTATTCTTAAAGTGTTGACTACGCAACAGTACAGTTCATTTTTTAAATATAATATCGCTAACTAAAGATATTTACAACTGAAAATCAAACATAGGATGAAAGCAACTGAGAGATATAGTTTCTTTTGCTCGTGAGTTTATCAAACGTGTCTCGGCAGTAACAAGCGAGCGGGGTTTAACGTCGCTTTCAACACTATTTAAAACGTATTGATAATCAGGTCTTTGAAAGGCATTTAGAAGTGGCACACATAAGGAAGAGAATATATGGATGTCAACTTCTTTATGAGAAACACAATGTTTCGGAGTATATGCTTACTCCTTCATCAGGTGAAATGATTATATAATAATGTTACAATAATTAAAGTTATATTACAGCGCGTCAGCAGGATCAGGGGTGAAAGCCATCTTGCCGAGGCAAGGGAGTTAATTGACTCTTAAAAGTCCACAGTCAGTTAACTCCCTTGCCTCGGGTGAAAGCCCGTTTATGAAAGAATACCCAGATGCAAATCTGCCGCAAAAGGCGACTATGCTTGTCGTAAGAGGCGACTAACGGGATCGGGTCACGGTGGTCAGACTCGCTGACTTGGTTGATGCATGTCATCGTATCCCAATCGCGTGGATCGATGCTCATGATGTCAATCGCTGGATTATCTGGTCCAGACCGCCGTGATATAACAAACAAAGAAAGTTGTTTGGGTCGTTAGGTCAAGGGCAAATAACCCTGGCAATGTTAAACATCAGTGTATGGAACATCCAACCCTTGCTTCATGTAAACCGAGAACACCATTACAATCTTCACAAAGAATGAGGTGTATCTGTGGCCATTTTGGCCCACGCTGTTTGTAATAAAAGCTCCTGTGATCTGTGTTCAAAGCCTTCAAGGGGACCTGTGGTGTCATGTTACACAAAGATGAGTTATTTTGGCAGTTCGGGGTTATTTTGGAACCAAACAGGTGGGGCACGGTACATGTATACAATATTGTAAAACAAACGTGCTGATTGGTTAAAAGATGTAGCAGTATGGGACTTATTACATGTTGTTTTAGAAAGCAGATCACTTTAACCCTTGGAGTCTGGACAGCTTCTGAACGAATAAAGGCGTAGGCATGATTAACGTTTATATCTTCTGGTCTCGGTTTAAGCCTTTTTGGTCATAATGTATTCATGTACGGGGGACCGTCACTTTGAATTTACAATAAATTCAAATGTCAGTCATTGTTTGGTGACGTAACGTGCAGTTTAAGTGTCGTCAAGGACATGTTATTTATGTTGCATAGGTTCGCAAGGAGAAATTGTTGCCAAATAATTGCTGATATTTTTTTATTTACAATATTGATAAACATAATGTGTTTTCATATTTGATGCCCATTTATTCTTAAATTTGAAATTTCTCTGCAAAATTGCCCCATTTTGTCCGCCACAAAGAGTTAAGATTCTAAAGTAGAATTTAAAAAAAAACCATGCCAGTCTATGATGGTTTTAGAAGTCTAGATTTCCTGATTTTTAATGTGGAGGTCCTAACTTCGTTCCTGGATTACGTGAGAATGAACTTAACGCTGTTAAAACAGAGAATAGATAAGCTCACCTTTCCGCTGACGTCAGTAATTCGCAGCGTCACCTGGCGGTCGTCCACATACACAGGCCGTTCGTACGTCACTTCCTCCAGTTGCGCAAACTCGGTGAGATACCTGCGCGTTAAGAAGCGGACCACCAGAGCTGAAAGGAGATAGGTAAATGGCAGCGTGAAAGATAAAGAAAGTCCCACCTGGGTCAAAATGCATGGCTAATTAGTCAGGAGGTAGACCATAATTAGAGCCGACAGGGAGATCTGAAATGTCGACAGCATATCTGATTTCCAGACGGAGCGCCCAAATAACCGTCGACTGATGATACTGTGGGGGATTAAATCAGATAAAAAGCACAGGACCATTTGTTAACCTGGTTTAGAGCTAACATTCATCAGCATCCTCGAGATTAACACACAAAAATACCATCAGACATCTTGCGGTCTCGAATAAGGTTAGTCACACAGAGAATATTAGATTTGCAGTAAACATTTGATGTTTCAATAAATATATTAACATTATGTATGCAGAAACCGTATTTCCTCTATTAGACGCCAGATATCAAATACACGTCATACGCTCTGTTAAAAAAATATAAGCCGGGACTCTTTTTGATGCCCGGTCTCTAAAACTGTGATACGTTAGTGATTATTAATTACCGTTTCCTGCAAATGTACGCTTTGTACGAATATAGAATTTGGGATAGGTGACGTAGTGAGTTGTCACTAATTAGCATTAAACAGAATAGACGCCGGACCTTTGATAGAAGCCGGATCCACGGCTTTGAGGGCGTCGAATGGAGGAAATACGTTATGGCATTTCCATATATGACCAACATGTGTGTTCTCAACTCAGCAGCACGGGACTATATTGCTCTAGTGCGCGTGCTATATTACTAGAGATACTATGTTGACAATTATATATTTTTACACATATGCTAGTGTTTATATATTACTCAAAGAAAAACGGTTTTAACGAAGGAGTTCAAGCTTAAACAGTTTGCTGTGTATTGTGACTTTATCGTTGGTGATACGTTAGTGATTATTAATTACCGTTTCCTGCAAATGTACGCTTTGTACGAATAAAGAATTTGGGATAAGTGACGCAGTGAGTTGTCACTAATAAGCATTCAACAGAATAGACGCCGGACCTTCGATAGAAGCCGGATCCACGGCTTTGAGGGCGTCGAATGGAGGAAATACGTTATGGCATTTCCATATATGACCAACATGTGTGTTCTCAACTCAGCAGCACGGGACTATATTGCTCTAGTGGCACGTGCTATATTACTAGAGATACTATGTTGACAATTATATATTTTTACACATATGCTAGTGTTTATATATTACTCAAAGAAAAACGGTTTTAACGAAGGAGTTCAAGCTTAAACAGTTTGCTGTGTATTGTGACTTTATCTTTGGAGGACACCCATGTTCACAGCCAGTCCAGTAAAAGCAAAATGATTTGAAGCGGAACAAATATATCAAATCTTTTTGGGTGAACATCTTACGAATGTCAGCTAATAGATAACAAATATACGACAGAGGTCAATGCGAAAATATATCGTTTGTCTCCATGGCGTAATCTCCAAGCAACATCTTACCAATGCTCGTGGGTTTCACCAAAATGATAAACGTCAAAGAAACGGGTTTGATACTACACATGGGCACAATTTGTGAATCTGTCTTTGTGTTTCCACGCTGTGATTTTGCAGTACAATCCACAGTAAAACTCGATACCTCATTCACTGTCTTCCGTGAAGATCCGGGTCAGAATAGGTCTTCAGCAACCCATGCTTGCCGTAAAAGACGACTATGCTTGTCGTAAGAGGTGACTAATGGGATCGGGTGGTCAGGCTCGCTGTCTTAGTTGATGCATGTCATCGTATCCCAATAGCGTAGATCGATGCTCATGATGTCAATCACTGGATTATTTACAGACCGCCGTCATATAGCTGGAATATTGTTGAGTGCGGCGTTAAACAACAAGCAAACAGACATTAATTCACTCACTCACTCACACAATCAGCAACATCGTGTATCGCACCCACACATGAATTAACAACGCTCCTTAAAGGAGTACTCGACTCGAGCAAATTGGCAGTCCAAGCAAATTTTAATTGAAGTCGTTCAAACACCACTTCGTCTCTTAACTTGAATCAAATGGTATGATGGTCATCATTGTAACGGTTAATGATTATCTAATTACACGGAGACAATGTTTCATACCGGAGCAAGCTACATAGAATAGGTGAAAAGGAACAAATGGTCCCCTTGCATAAAATTTAAATTAAGTGAGTGCATGAGTAAGGTGGATTTTACGACGCTTTTAACAATATTCCAGCTTTATCACGGCGGCGAACACAAGAAATGGGCTCCGCACATTGTACCCATGTAGTGAATTGAACCCTGGCCTTTGGCGTGACGAGCGAACGATTTAACCACTAGGCTACCCTCCCCTCCCCACCATCTTCAATTTGGCAAATGCTTTCTGAATACCTCCACGGGGAGGAAGGGGGGTATTTTGAAAAACATAAATCTGTTCACGAAAATGCTAGAAAAACATAGTTTGTCATCAGATCGTTCCAAAAACAATAAAAATCCGGATCTCAGCAGATAACAAGGTTTCTTGGTAGCTATCTTCAACAGTTGGTATTTACCCTCTACGGTCGTCTCAAGCACTTGCTGGCTGCAGAAATATATATCGTCGTTGATTAACATGTCCACTTACACTCGTTTAATGAGCATGTAATTACCGTGCAGGGATAAGCGAGCTCATGGGCCATACATTGGATGTTCTATTTCCGCTGACACCCGTAAGCTCCATCAGGGACTCGACAATGTTTGGAATGTGTATTAGTTCTCGCTACAGTGGGAACTACCAATCCGTAGCTGTCTCCGAGTACATCGCTCGGATTCCCGCACTATCAGTGGTCCCAGACTACAGCCGTGGAATTATTATGGAAGTGATTTGCCTGAGATGTGGTCCAATTAGACCTGTTAACAGCGGAGTAAACAGAGTCGGACGTATAGTATTCCCGGCGGGGTAGCCAACCCAGGAATGAGTTATTAACAAGTGAGGGCTTAGGAAGTTAGATGTGACGCAGGTCGGAGATGTTAACCTCATTGGTGGACTAGGTATCACCGGAATGGTGCAGACTGACCGAGCATCATAATCAGGACGAATCGTGGAATCAGCAGATCCTGGCAGCTAAGGGACGCAACTTTATATAGCGAGTCGTGAGGCACCTTGCGCAGGTGGTGAGATCTCAAACATGGGAAATTATTCTTTAAGTACCTTTTCTGATTTTCACCTAAATGCAATATGGGCCTTCCAAACAGTAAATGCTGTGCATGTGTGACTGGTGCAGAGAGTATAATTCAACTCGAACGACATGCATAGTTACTAAGAAACAATTCTATCCCGTAATTCACATGCAAGTTCCAACTGTAAATGAATCTGGCATATATCCTAATACCCAAAACGCACTGATATGCGAATCAACTTATATGCATGGATATCCTCTCAGTCTGTTATTCCATGATACGCAAGCTGATTACTTATACCATGAAGGGGCGGTGGGGTAGCCTAGTGGTAAAAGCGTTCGCTCGTCACGCCGAAGGTCCAGGGTTCCGTTCCCTACATGGCTACAATGAGTGAAGCCCATCGTAGGTGTCTCCCGCCGTGTTATTGCTGCAATTTTGCTAAAAGTGGCGTAAAACCAAACTCACTCACTTACACCATGTACATACAAATATAACTCTAGGCAAGGTCGAGCGGTTGTTGTTGGTGATAAAATAAGATAATGCCCACGTGTAACTAGAGTGTGATATGATGTATAATCATTACACTGCTGGTCTGACATACATGTACAGCAAATTTGAGTTACCTGTCAAAAATGGATTTTGAATGAGTGGATCCAACTTGCTTGGACTGCCAATTTGCGCGAGCCCAGCAAAAATAACTTAAATAATTATACACAGACTAAGCATGGCACACTATTACTTACTAAATAAACATAAACATATTCCAATTGAAGATCTAATGGAACATAGTTATTATTTATTCTTGCGTTTCCCGCCATGATGTTGCTGGAATATTGCTAAAAGCGGCGTAAAATCATGCTCACTCACTTATTATATCATTTATGTCTTACTGATTTACCCAAGCCCTGTGAAGCTTAACTGTTTTCAATTTTAAAATAACTTGAATATCGTTCCTAAACACCGACTGGTCTAACCTATACTGAATCAACTATTCCCTGTCTCTAATGGCATCCATCCTCTTTGAAATGACATTACCCAATTTCACGTCCATCATTAAGCCGTACCTCGGGACGCCCATTGATTTGGCTTAGACATTCAACTTTGAAATTCGACCAACCTTCAATCTCTTTGCTCTTAAATGATGCATTTATATCAGTGAACGCATAGAGCGGTTTCCTGTCTGATAATTTAACGAAGTTGCTATAATGAACATGTTATAATCTAGTTATTCTGTCAGAAACGCCATTCGGCCTGGTCGGAGTGTCTCTGTGAGGCGCGTTATGACGTATATATACCGTGCTAAAGAGCATGGCAGGGGATAACGTGACTAGCGTAAATATCAACCATGTGCGGCAAAGTTACAGCAAATAAATTCATCGTAATTAACAAATCAGTGGTATATATTATATATGGTGGTAGTATGTTGTTTCGATAAAGAATTTGCATTTTTTGGTTTTGAAACATGAAGAATTTAAGCAATATCCCAATAGCTGTTTTAGTTCAGGATACCGTTGTACAAAGCGTTCTTAGCGCTAAGGTGATCGTAACTCCCATACCTTAACATAGACTTACGACAGTCGTAGCGCAATGGTTGTTTTGTACAACGGCACCCAGATCAATACTATTGTTTTGGCCCTTGATCTTGGTAGTGCTAATTATGAGTTTAGATAGAAGGTGTGTTTTTTATTAATGATTTCGAACGATTTCTATTTTAGGAAAGGGCTCAAAGATCTTTAGCTTTTGACATACAAAATTAGTTAATTAATATTGGTTTTTAGACGCATATTCCCTCTATAGCATATGGTGTGCTGTAAATACTCGACCCTGGGACAGGCAGACCGGTGGTTGATAGCATGAGCACCGTGTCGTGGTAAGATGAGCCACAATAAGCCATGTCGCATGTTGTAGTCCATCTTCCCGAGGCAAGGGAGTCAAGTGACTATAAAAGTCCAGTTTTCATCTTCTTTTCAGCCGAACTAAGCTGGAATTATGGAGTTATATTTTGGCTGGACAAACGAGTCTATGCATAGTCCAATCGAAATCGCGTAACGAAATTGACATCCGGTTCGTAAACTGTCGTGCAGATTACGGTCGACTGCAGGATTTGGGAATCGAACTCGGATTGCCCGTGTGACAAGTGACTGGATAACCCTAATGGCCTATGTTTACACGACGGTTCCGAAGAGAAATTTTAAAAAATAAATAAACCTTCTGATCATATTATGTTGTGGTTCTACAGCAAGATTGATGTCATGAAGTTGTATATCAGAATGTATATAAGTCAACAGACGGTGTGATGTACCCTGCGTGCGACCCTATGTACCCCCGAGCCGTCAGGCTCACATAGACTCACACAAGGTACATCACACCATATGCCCCGAGGGATCGGCTGACCGCGTACGCTGTAGGTGTTGTACTTTTATATATTTCCTTGATTTTCATACAGAGTACGACTACTTTAATTGGCATAACTTCAAAAGTTATTGACACCATTCTAGGGCAGAACGCGGTGTAAATGTGAGTGGGGTTGGTTATACCCCGCTTTGAACCGTATTTTGGTAGTTTCAATGTGTGACCACTTAATGTGAGATGTGGACATATTGGGTACATGTAATACAACACGTTTTGCGGAGGTTGCTGTTTCCAATTTTTCAGCTATATGAAAATATGTAAATAATCAAGTGTGGACCAGGCAATCCAGTGACTGACATCATGAGCATCGATCCACGCAATTAGGATACGATAACATGCATCAACAAAGTCAGCGATCCTAACTACCCGATCCTGTTGGTCGCCTCTTACGGCAAGCATGGCTAGCTGAAGACCTATTCTAACACGGATCTTCACGGGTCTTCGGGAAGTTCAATGAGTCATCTGGGCCTTCGATCAAAGACGACCAGCTTCGAAATGATGAGTGAGTGAGTGAGTGGGATTTTACGCGACCCGTTTGTACACCCGATTGTTCGGCAAAAACGAGGCTACCTAGACTTGAACAAGTCTCTAAGGCAATACTTATTAGTTTAAATCAATTTCCAGATTATATCAATAATAAGAACAAGTTGTCCCATTGATGACTTGCGCCTTTAATGTCTGCTTAACTAACCTTTCCTATCATGAAGATTAAATTTAGATTCATGGACTTATCTTTAGGGGCGGTCGGGTAGCCTAGTGGTTAAGGCATTCGCTCGTCACGCCGAAGACCCGGGTTCGAATCCCGACATGGGTACAATGTGTGAAGCCCATTTCTGGTGTCCCCCGCCGTGATATTGCTGGAATATTGCTAAAAGCGTCGTAAAACCAAACTCACTTACTCACTCACTTATCTTTAAGTACAGCCTTGGAGCATGCAGAGATGAGAAGTCTTTTCTACCACTGTTGAATCTGAGCATGGACAAGCTTGGAGAACATGGAACCATTTCTATTCTTCAACCCCCATAAGTGTGGTAAAATAGCGAAAATTCATTGTGTTGTGAAATAGATATAGAGTATAGGAAAACCTTACCAGGCGTAACTTGTGTTAGCGATAGAAACACTTTTAGTCCACTAGTCCTTATAATGACAACATATAGCAAAACTCCTAAAAAGGGCAAATTTCTACTCATCCTTAGGATACCTTAACTATTGAAAAAGACTATAGGACTAGTGCCTATTTCTGAACACTGAATTAAAGAAAAGACTTCGGTCAAGAGTAACAGATGAACGCTAGAGTGTTGCGCCCTGTCTTGTAGTCTGTAAGGTATTACGTTTTATTGGTGTATATTTTGAGCAAATTCATTGTATTTGTCTATATTCATTTCAGATATTAATTGGATGGTGTATTATCTATTATTGGTGATTTATTCAATGTTACTATTTTGGGAAAATAGGGTGTACTATCTATTATTGGCGATTTATTCAATGGAACTATTTTGGGAAAATAGGATGTACTATCTTTTATTGGCGATTTATTCAATGGAACTATTTTGGGGAAATAGCATCTTTCAACATGCACTGTGCAAACTAAGTACTGTGCATGTTTCACAGAATTCTCTGGCGATTATTGCTATTGCGCTAGTTCTATATATCAGGCGAGTTGCATCTGCAGGTGTACGTGCGCGCAATTAAGGTAATTAGTAGAAATTACGCCTTTTAAGATTACATCATGATCTGATAGGTGTTACCTGTGAAATTAGTTAAAACCCATTATGAATTATCTATTTCACATACCCGAGATATCAATTTCCCCATTAATGGAGAATATTTTTTTACAGATAATAGTTTAGTTCAAAATGTTTGTTACAAGATATCACACTGGTGACTGTGGAATACACTCACACCAGAAGCCTTATCTGACTAATAGAACGATAACACCTAATGTACCACTTGTTAGTTAATCCTTATTCAACATTGCGAGAACATATCACAACATAATCTATGTGTCATTGTGTATTGTTTGTTTGTTGTTTAACGCCGCACTCAGAAATATTCCAGCTATATGACGGCGGTCTGGAAATAATCTAGTCTGGACCAGACAATCCAGTGATTGAAAACATGAGCATCGATCAACGCCATTGGGATACGATGACATGCATCAACCAAGTCAGCGATCCTAACCACCCGATCCCGTTAGTCGCCTTTCACGACAAGCATGGGTTGCTGAAGACCTATTCAACCCGGATCTTCACGGGTCGCCCCGTGTTTAACAGGCAAGACCCATGGCGTTCCTAAGCCGCGTCCAGCGTTAAGAATAACTACGAAAACATCCACAGCCGCATTGCATATAGCTATAGCAGTTGGAGACATTTACTAGCTCCGACATACGTGGAAAGACTAATATATATTCTCCGAAATAAAGTGATCTATAACGTGACATAAATATTATTTCTGCAAAACGTGAGGTGTGTGGCTGTTTGTACTAGTCCGAATCTGATCCCGATTTATTGTGCTCGCCCACTGAGAAACCATGCCGCAGTTAAACATGAATACCCCACCCAGACACAGTATACTGACTCCAAGCCGACCATTCCTTGTTATAGTGCCTTAATGCCGAGCGCCAGACAGGGTAACAACAAGTACCATCTCTCAACGTCTTTTGGTATGACGCGGCCGGGAATCGAACGCCGAACCTTCCGCTCTCCGGGCGGACGCTCTACCACTAGACCACGGAGGTGGTCATTTCTGCAAAAGGACCCTTGGGAACTAACGAACCATCAAATCTCTACGTTTCAGGTTAGAGCTGCAAAAGGGATGAGAGTGCACGGATGATATGTGTGAAAGTTTTATTATATATATATATATATGCTTTGTGGTCTTAAGATAGACTAAACATGAACAAGTGCTTGCTTTATTTGGTTTCGTGGAAGCTGATCAAGTTAGTTCATATTCCACCCTGGTTGTCAGTGGTTTGTTGTTTGTTGGTTTGTTGTTTAACGCAGCACTCAGCAATATTCCAGCTATATGACGGCGGTCTGTAAATAATCGAGTCCGGACCAGACAATCCAGTGATTGATATCATGAGCATCGATCTACGCAATTGGGATCGATGACATGCATAAACCAAGTCAGCGAGCTTGACCACCCGATCCCGTTAGTCGCCTCTTACGACAAACATAGTCGCCTTTTACGACAAGCATGGGTTGCTGAAAAGCTATTCTGCCCCGGATCTTTACGGTCGGTTGTCAGTAGTACTCAAGATACAATGTACGTGTGAATCAAGTTAATTTAACGCAATAGCTGAACAAACGTGCCCACCAATTTGTTTTTACCCAGAAGGTAAATAAAATGTTCTTGAACATTGAGCTGGAGAACAGTACAGTGGCTTCCTACATACCACAAGTCCTTTGAAACATTTAGCGAGCTATCATTAAGTTTAATTGCAGAACAAAGCTTAGGACAAGCGGAAGGATTTAACGGTATGTCTGTAACCGCCTACTGTCTGGTTAACCACGGGAACGGGAAGTAGGAGTGGAGACGCGGCCTATCCTTTGGGTTGTATACCCTACCTACAAACAGTTGTCTTTATGTAGAGTAGAGCAGCAGGCCAATAATGTCTTTACTTACACCCGAAACGCCCCATTCATGTGAATATAAGGCCGGGCTCGCTACATTCTTTTAATGTTAGATTATGTTAGTATACTTCCGTGAAGTGAGTGAGTGAGTGAGTGAGTGAGGTTTTACGCCGCTTTTAGCAATATTCCAGCAATATCACGGCGGGGGACACCAGAAATGGGCTTCACACATTGTACCCATGTCGGGAATCGAACCCGGGTCTTCGGCGTGACGAGCAAACGCTTTAACCACGAGGCTACCCGACCGCCCCACTTTCGTTAAGACCTAAGTGTATACTAAAACCAAACGCATCATTCCTATGGTACTTGATAAAATATGATAAAATATGAAGAAATAATTTTGTATTCCATTTCTTTCAAGAAAATAGCACATTCACAACGACACGGAAAATTAAATATGAAAATCTTTTGAAACAAAAGATAAAGAAATCCTCCAAGGCGTATGAACCTGCATCGGATTACAACCTCGATGAGTTGCAAAAAGGACATAAAAAAATTACTCACCAGTTTTTCCAACTCCTTCTTTACCAAGAACAAGAATTTGAATTGGTCCCTTCATAGCGGTGCTTGTCACATTTGTCCAGTCTAGTCCAATATATATATCCAAGTCCCCGCTAATCGCTAATGTAGCTGTACTTCCTGGAAATGAGAGCAGATGAGTGAGCTTCCTTGTCTTCACGCCGAGCAGACGATAACTATCGGCTGCTCTTCTGACAGCTGCGCGTGGCGCGTGCTGTAACGAGATCTCGTTCTCGCGATGCCCGTACATCCCGCTGTCACAGGTCGTGCATTCCATAACATTTTGCATGGAACTATTGAGGAGGCTTGTTTTTAGCCTAGAAAATATTCTATAACAATACAGCTTATTTTTTTACCAGAAAAACATGACATATCGATTACCGTTTCGTTGATTTAGTGTACCAACTTGCACGGTGTGCGCTCGTGGAAAAGCATATGTCAGTGCACAACAAGCTCGGATTACAAAATATTATCATAATGAAAAATAACATTACCGCAAGAAGGCATTAACACTTTATCCTTCGTGAATTCCGTATACCATATAAAAGACGATGTTACAAAAAACAACAACCTTTTATTAATCAATAACGGTGTAAATTTATCAACTAGCTGCAACTTGGAAATCATATCGCATTGATTTGTGACCATGTTACAAATTAATTAAATATATCAATTAATACATTCCTAATGATAACGCTATCAATATGAAACACGTGCGTGCTTTTTGATTATGATAACGATCTGGCAAAAAGCCCTTTCTCAGATCGTGCATGATTGTTATGAAATATGATATGAAACATGCTTGAATCTAGCTCAGGGGACGTGTCATGAAAAACGGCGAAGTTGTTGATAGGATATAAAGGAACGTTCACTCATTCATTAACTCTAGGAGGGGTGGGCATTAAGTGCGCTAGTTTAACATCAGGGACGAAATGGTCATGGTTGTGGCAGTTCGTTTTGACTTCCAAGGAACGTTTTCTTTCAAAAGTAACTTTCATGAGAAGAGCATATGGAGCGTGCGGTTCTCTCCCACCCTCTGTAGCTGTCAGGGGGACATGCAGTATCCGAATTCTGTTTGGTCTTACTCTTTATCACCTGCTAATTTAAGTTGATGGATTTTCACACTTTGAAAATGTTACTGCCTTGTAGTACTCGTAGATTACTATTAATTGGATTTAGGTGGTCGTATATTTTGTCCTTGCCCAACTTACTGTGGCCTTGAGGATCCCGGAGATGGGTGGTACCCGTCCGATTCGGACACCTTGGATCATCATTGATTCGCGAACACCTGGTGCCATCGCTACTGTTTCAATGATTCGCGAACACTTGGAATCATCGCTAACGTTTCAATGATTCGCGAACACCTGGAATCATCGCTAACGTTTCAATTTAACGCGAACACCTGGATTCATCACTACTGTTTCAATTATTCGCGAACACCTGGTATATTCACTAACGTTTCAATGATTCGCGAACACCTGGAATCATCGCTAACGTTTCAATTTAACGCGAACACCTGGATTCATCACTACTGTTTCAATTATTCGCGAACACCTGGTATATTCACTAACGCTTCAATGATTCGCAAACACCTGGTATCATCACTAACGTTTCAATGATTCGCGAACACCTGGTATATTCACTAACGCTTCAATGATTCGCAAACACCTGGTATCATCACTAACCCTTCAATGATTCGCGAACACCTGCTGTCATCACTGACGTTTCAATGATTTGCGAACACCTGGAATCATCTCTACTGTTTCAATGATTCGCGAACACCTGCTGTCATCACTAACGTTTCAATAATTCGCGAACACCTGGCATCATCACTAACGTTTCAATGATTCGCGAACACCTGGTATTATCACTGACGTTTCAATGATTTGCGAACACCTGGAATCATCTCTACTGTTTCAATGATTCGCGAACACCTGCTGTCATCACTAACGTTTCAATAATTCGCGAACACCTGGCATCATCACTAACGTTTCAATGATTCGCGAACACCTGGCATCATCACTAACGTTTCAATGATTTGCGAACACCTGGAATCATCTCTACTGTTTCAATTATTCGCGAACACCTGGTATATTCACTAACGCTTCAATGAATCGCGAACACCTTGTGTCATCACTAACGTTTCAATGATTCGAGAACACCTGGTATCATGGCTAACGTTTCAATGATTCGCGAACACCTGGAATCATGGCTAACGTTTCAATGATTCGCGAACACCTGGTATCATGGCTAACGTTTCAATGATTCGCGAACACCTGGTATCATGGCTAACGTTTCAATGATTCGCAAACACCTGGTATCATCACTAACCCTTCAATGATTCGCGAACACCTGCTGTCATCACTAACGTTTCAATAATTCGCAAACACCTGGTATCATCACTAACGTTTCAATGATTCGCGAACACCTGGTATCATCACTAACGTTTCAATGATTCGCGAAAACCTGGTATTATAACAAACGTTTCAATGATTTGCGAACACCTGGTATCATCACAAACGTTTCAATGATTCGCGAACACCTGGTATCATCACTAACGTTTCAATGATTCAGGAGAGTAGGTACTGAGATGTATATATACTCACTAACATAAGACAAGCGGCAGCGGCTGTGTGTTTGTAATTGACCTTCACCTCGAGCCATGGTGTCCATGCATCTATATAGAACCCGTGAAGATCCGGGTTTGAATAGGTCTTCAGCAACCCATGCTTGCCATCAGAGGCGACTGTGCTTGTCGTAAGAGTCGACTAACGGGATTGGGTGGTCAGGCTCGCTGACTTGGTTGATGCATGTCATCGTATCCCAATTGCGTGAATAGATGCCCATGATATCAATCACTGGATTGTCTGGTCCAGACACGATTATTTACAGACCGCCGTCAAATAGCTGGAACATTGCTGAGTGCGGCGTTAAACAACAAACAAACAAACAAAACGTCTCGTCGCGGCTCCCGGCGTTCCAGTAAATGCCCGGACAGAAGTACATGACAGGGTCACGTGATGGTCGTGAAGAAAATATACACATTTCTGTTGAAGGTCATTTAATAATTATGTTCAGTTATTGGTAGTATATGAATTAATAATTAATGATTAATGTGGTTTCATAAGAAAAAAACTAATGCGGCATGTCGTCGCCATTGGGAAAGTTAGTAGGATATACAGAAGCTGTTTGGGAGGGTCGACGCAAGAAACTTATATTCAAGGAAGGTTAACTGTTTCGTACAAAATAAAACAACAAAAAGACAAAAAATCCGAGGCCAGTTCTCATCGTTGGGTGATTCTTTGTTAGACTAACATTTAGTCTCTTTTATGAAAATATTTTAAGGTTTAGTGATATTTTCATTCAGGATACAACAGGAAAGATCCCAGATATTCTTTTCATCATCAAAAGTTAAAGAAATCTCGATGCGACAGTATTGTAGACTTGCTTGGGAGTTTGGGTATTTTGGTTTCAGGGTATAGTAGTCTGTCATACAGACCCTGAAATATATATATATCCAATACAGCCCATGCAAGTCTAAAATAGTTGGCAAGTCTAGATTTCTACAGTTTGGGCTCCATATATATCTGAAATGAACATTTTGTTACAGAAAAATGTAGTTGTTAAAGTATACTGTGGCATCGAGATTTCACCCACCCACCCACCCACCCACACACACACACACACACACGCACAAAACAAAAAAATAAAAATAATGTGCAATAATAATGGACGCGACGTTAAACGCCATTTCTCCTCAACTTTTACGGGAAGGATGGGTTGCTGAAGACGTATTCTACCCCGGATCTTCACGAGTCTATTTATTACAGAAAAAAAGTTATCGCCTATAATATGTATATTATTAAAATACTTTAACAAGTATACTTTACTGTAAAGTATAATCATTACAGAGACTAGATGCCAGTCTAGTTCAAGGGGCACGCTTCGTTGTGTGAGAACATGGTATCAGGTATCACAAGCTCCCATCGCGGCCGTGACCAACTGAGTCATCCGGGTCATCCCGTTCACGTAAACAGATTGGTTCAGCCGATGATGCCGACAAAGGTATGACGATATAGATACTTATCTCTGATGACGTGATGTTATCACTCCCTGGAGCGGCCCAGCAGGCAATGTCTGTGCATGGTACATCGCACGTGCAGTACTGGACGCCCAGAAGGTATTACATAACTCCCACACATCTGCACGCGGGATAACGAACACGCGTACTGGTACAAAGAGACAAGCAAAGCACATCCGCCATGGGGGAACTCATTCGTGGAGAATCATGGGGAGAGTCTTAGAGGGGGGCATCTGAATCAGACGAACCGTCGCTCAGCTAAATTAATTACTTCTTAATTGCTTTCGGAATTACACGCGGAAGGCCTGGGTTCGATTCATATGGGTACAATCTATGAACAGTCGTAGTATGACAGGAAGATTGCTAAATCAGGTCATTCCTTCAGCAATAACCAGTTGGGAGTTTTTTTCTTGTTCTTATACACTGTTCTTGTTGACTTTCTGAGTTTAGTCAAACAGGATACAGCTTTTTTAAAGAGAGGGAGGGTGTGCGTGCGTCAGTGCGCGGGTTTGTCCGATTGGGCGGGGATCACAGTTTCACAGTTGAAAGTGTGTGTACTTCAAATAAACAAAATGTTAGATAAATGTAAATAATTCATTCGGGAAGCGATTTACGTTTGTAAGACAAACATTACTGAAATAATTGTTATTTTTGTTGAAACCAACTCTATCGGTAACATGGGTTTTGTGTATACTAACACGATTAGGATGCTTCGAAAAGGGGCACTCCTGCATCATTTACACCGTCCTCCGGACCGTCCTATGTATATTTGAGACAAGGAATATCACAACACGCATCATATGATGGCAAAATGATAAAAGTTGGACTGATGGACAAGCTAAACGTTGGATAGTTTTTTTGTTTTTCAAAGACCGCTGAAGTCCTTTGAAAAATGTGCATAAAGCTCGTTTATTCAGTACAGTAAATTAACGTCGGGTACTAGATTTACTTTAATTACGGTATGACAAACCTAGAAACATAATCGGGGCGCACCGGGATTCGAACCCGCAATCATAGGTTTCTGGCGTGCTAAAGGGAC